CAGAAGGTGTGTTTCAGAATTTTAGAAGTTCCCCTGTGTTTAATTTTCATACCTGCCTGCCTGCCCGTTCGCCCCTTGTTGCCCTGACTTTTTGTAGTTAGTCTTTGTTTTTACTATTTTGTTTTTTGACCCCTCGTGATCTGTTTTAGTGTTTCTTAGTGTTTTCTGTTTCTGTTAATAAACCCCTGTTTTCCTGCAAACCGCAAGTGGACTGTNCTACATTAGACACAAAAATGTAACATGATGTCACATAGGTTACTGGATATCTGCACCAGCAGTGGGTGTAGCTGTGGCACAGCGGAAGTGATCTATCAAAAAATGAGTGAGATCTAGCAGAAAAATGCCATACCATGGGGAAATTGTGGAAGTCTGTTTATAACGCACCTGTCAAAGGAGGAGCAATAAATTCTATTGCATTTAGAATTTTGAACGAAAATGGCAACATTTACATTCATGGATTCCCCTGTCACATCATCCATAGCATATATTATAAATATATTGCAAATAATATATACAATATTGTATATAATATGTATATATATATGATATATTATCAAATAATAACAAAAAAATATGTTTAATGGATGAAATGGACACAATTGAATAAATTAGCAGAAAACATAGTGTAGTGTAATTTTAATGTTGCTGTGGGACAATGTGAGACAAGACACCTATCAAATTTAATGTATTATCATTGATATGTTTATAATAGTAGAACAATAAAATGATGATTTAGAATTTTTGATATTTATTGCACCTCAACAGGCCATCAAATAAGTCTAAAATTAAATTATGCTCGTTAAGCAATGTACCAAAAGTAAATAAAAATATATACATTCTTTGCAGTGCAAATTAAATAAATCAAACTGTCACACAACTTCAGACATCTGATAGACATATTGTACTTCAAGTATTTTTCCTCCTCACAAAAGTAAAGAGTTTAACAATATGAAGAGCTTTCAATACAATACTGAAAAAGTGCAATGTATAACAAGACTAAGGCATCCAAATGTCTTTGTCCTTCCTGTCCTGTGTCCGCAGCCAATGTAGTTTGAACTTGGGCAGAGTCACAGCAGCTAAGACAGCATCCTCGCTTTCCAACACCTCTGCAAATCTTGTTTTCATTGCCTGAAATGATACATAAGCATGCAAAGAACATATTATACTATATGTCTATCTACACACACACACGCACACACACACACACACACACATTGCATTATACATCATCATGAGCATATTTAAAAATATATTTCATTTTACATTATTTTTTCATAATGTATGTTAATTTTTTAAATATTTTTTATGCCTAGCCTATAAATTTCTTTACAGCAAAAGGCTTTGCAGGTCCACCATCTCCAGTCATACATCATACAACTGTGAAGCGTAGAATAAAATGTATAAGCTAACTATATACATTTTCCATCCCTCCAAATTAATAAAATGCAGTTGTTGTTGGGTGATTGGTTAAAGATATAAAGTTCTTACCATGACAACTGCCTCTGGAAAGTCAACTAGGATTTGCAGGCAGCTCTTCAGTTCCAAGGTCTTGAACATCAATGTCTCCGGCATGGGTAGGAGTGTGCCATGGAAACGGTTGTCTTCTCCCTGAAGAATGTTTAAGGCTACTGTAAGTGGCCTCATGACAGTGCAGTACTCCCTGAAGAACTGATGTTCCCATTCTATAATGGCTATCAACCCGAACTTGGAGGAGATGGTGTTCAGCTTGACCATAGGAATCTCACAGATTTGAGCCAGGGCATCATAAAATGAATTCCATCTCGTAGTCGTAAGGGACTAGTGACTTCTTTGCCATAATGTCACCCACCGTTGAATGACTTGCCTTGTTCCATACAGTAAGCCTGTGCATTTTGTGCCAGCGAGAGTCTGGAAGGGGGGTAGTTTGTGATGGCCGAGGCCACACAGGGTAATATTTTTATATTGTACACTTTTTCATTTCATTAGGTTATTGTTTGCACTATTATTTTATTTGCAGTCAAATATTTAGGTAATCGTCACACAAGTCTGTGTTTAAGAGTTTGTTTATGGTATCCTTATATTGTCGGTCATGGAGTGCACACGTGCTGACAGTGTGAAGGTATTTTTTTTGTTGTGATTAACTTTGCTTTCTGCCGAGTTACTGATCAGTGGTTGGGGAGGTTCTGTCCTGTGGCAAATGATGGCGTAGTTGACAGCTGAGGGGCAAGGAGCACCAGTGATCTCAGCTGATTGGAAGAGCTTTTATTGTAGTTAGATTTCGTGGCTTAATGCTGTAGTTATGTTTGTGTTCCCCCCCTTGTGTCTGTAAATGGTCTAGGCATGTCATTATTTGTATTTCCTTATGTCTGTATTAAGGGAGGCAGTTTTGAGTTTTGCTTGTTGGAGTTCTTTTCTACATTATTTGCACATTAAAGTTTGTTAGGTTTTGTTGCCTTATTTTTGGCCAATTAGTTGTACTGTATATACGATTTGATATTGGTTGTTTATATTATTTTGGGTAATAAATCCCTGTTTTTTTACTAATCCCTCTATATCCTCATGGCTTTACTGGTTGGTCCCCTAACAAGACCAAATCCTAATATAAGCTCAAAACAAATACTTTTACATACATTGTTTTATTTATACTTACTGTTCTGATGATAGCTGGTAGCNATAGGTATCCTATATCTGCAATTAGCGTGTGATAACTTTTTGCCATCCGTAATTCAATTAGTATGAATCATAAAAGCGTTAGATTATTAATGTCTCTTGTGTGTGGTTGTGAAACCTCTCTTGCACTAATATCAGAAGCAGAGAAGAGGATATTATGAACAAGTCTGCACGTCCACTTCAGTGGCCTCTATAATGGAGCATATTTAGCCACCGGCTCATTCCACCATGCTGTGCTAAAATGCTACTGGGGATTATCGCTGCCCGAAGCCGTCTGACAACTGGTGACTGACATCACACTTTCTCCAGACATTACACTGCCCATCCATAGCCATAATACGTAAGGAAGCATCCTCTCTTGTTATAATACAATCTGGTGCCTTGTGTTCTAACTGCGTATAATTTATTTGCAGATAACACTGGTCAACAGTCATTTTGCTACTGGAGTTCTGTCAGCTGTACCTTATCAAAGTCCACATGCTGACTCTAAATCTGAAAACCGTTTTTGTCTATCACGTCCCATTTTTAAGTTATGGGTCTGTCTGTGTTTATAACATGCCGTGAAGCGTCGGTAGATTACTGGTTCCGTAACACAACATTGAATTTTGGACTATAATCGATTAAATATGCCACTAATTTGAAATTTTATACTAAAAGTGATTGTACTGACTTTTTACCTGTGAATTTAGACATTTTTATTGCTTTTGTTTTAGAAGATATGAACAGGCGAGGTTGTGTGAGGTTGTCCTGATAACTTCTCGTGTGCAGTAAATTGTCCGCAGACATAAGATCAGTGAAAGAATCTGTCCAGCAGACTTATATATAGATAAAGCATAGGCCCCTCATGTGTGCTGCACTGTCTGCTACTTCAGTTTAACACAGTGGCTGAATGGCAAACGGAAAAAGATGCCATTTGCTGTACCAATTTGTGCTGGTTGTTCAGAATTTTCTTGGTAGCCATAGATCAGAGAATTATGTTGAGCTTGTGGAGAACATGTTGACAGCGTTTCAGGTAATGGGTGCCAGAATGTCACTTAAGATGCACTTTTTACATTCCCACCTTGACTTCTTCCCACCCAATCTTGGTGAGGATGGGGAGAGATTTCATCAAGATATCAAGATGATGGAAAGCAGATATTAGGGAAAGTTCAATCCCAGTATGATGGGAGACTACTGTTGGTTCTTGCAAAGAGAGACGAATGTACAGTACAAGCGTGAAAGTGTCACGATCGCTGGCGAAGGAAGACGCAGGGCTGCGAGACTCTTCACGGAAACGAGGTTGGGGAAATGGAATGGGGAAATCCGGGGATACATAGACAGACATCATGACACTACACAATGACTGATCTGGGAGATAGTGGGAGACACGGACTAATATACACAGGACAAGTCAAAAGGAACAGGAAACAGGTGATGACAATCAGGGATTAACACGAGGTAACAAGGTGGGCGTGGCACACACGAGGATCGTACGGAGCTGGGCGTGACAGAAAGCAAGTGTCTCAAACATTTTTGAACATGCTGACATCACTTGTGTGAGTTAAGATAGGTGTATATATGGTGTAACATGTCTCTTTATGTGTGTTGATGTTTGTTTTCAGTGTAAAATCCTTAACACAAGTTTGGTGGGACATAGTTCATAATAAAAAAAATTGTGCCGAACGGCAAATTATCTTAAACGTCAGTAACGTGTAGCTCAGAAACCAGACGTGATAGCTGAATTTTAATTACAGATCTGAAATCAGCATCAAAAATTGAAAAATTGAATTGAAATACTTCTCAAGTTCTCAGTAGCAAACAAAAAGTTTTTTTTTGTTGACCAGTGTAATTATTATTCTCATCTTTAAAAGAGACATGTTACAAGGGTTTGCAATGACACCCATAGAAACCAATGAATCCTAGCCCAAAATTAGTGGCTTAGTACAGTTTCTAAGAACTTGAAGAGTATGTGTCATAGGAATGTGGGCAATATTCAGATTGACAGTCACTGAACCCACAGAATCAAGAGTCACCTGTGACACCAGTAAGAGGAATAAACTGCTTTAGAATTGGGTTCCTGCGAAAGGTAGGCGTAAACATCCTGAACCCTTCACTAATAACCGAAACTTCTGCACCAGTGTCAACAAAAGCATGTACAACATTGTCCTCAATTACGATTGACACGTATCTACTTAACACATCAACCTCAGATAAACTGCCTTGTGGGCCTGCTGAAAGTCCACAGCTGGCAATTGGTCCTCGTTGCCAACTATTTGTAGTTTACCTTATTAGAGCTGGTGTATGATGAGGAATGGAATCGTACACATTCAGGACTTGGACAGCGTCGAGACTGTCATCTGCCCTTTTAGTGTTCAGGAGAACGTCCACGCCGTGTGTAGTCTCTGGATGACTGGGGCCGCGTGCATGATGTTCAGGCGAGCCAGAATGAGTGTGGCCATCCCATCTGTCATACCGGTCTCTGTCATGCCTGGATGCTCTGTAGGAACCATCACAAGCTGGGTGACGGTCATGAGAATAATCTCCAGAAGTTGTCCTATCTGAGTTGTAATAATGGTGGCGGACTCATCCATTGTCAGGAGTGAGGCTCCGCTGGCGAGATCTGTAGTCGGATGAACTGCGTTGAGCATATCTTCGCTGGTTTTGCACATCTAAGTGTAACTTTTCAACCTTTTCAGATCTCTAGTGTTATTATTTGTATTATAATCGAATAAAAATACTTCCATTATGAAAAGAATCTTGGGTTCATCAGATATCCACGTGACATGATGTTTTCCAATATTAATAAAAATAATAATTATACTTTATTGATTACCATGGGGAAATTTTCATCTACACCATCTTGCTCTCCATTATATAGGTGAGGGCAAACTTGGCAGTGAAGGGCAGCCACTCATAGTGATGGGCAGCCAGGCTTAAACCAGTAACCTTCTACTCACAGGCACAAAGGCTTAGCCCATTGAGGCACACTGTGACGACCGTCCGCATGGTGAGCGAGCAGGGAGCGGGGAATCCAAAAAACGTGGTTTTATTGTAGGCAGAACACAACTATACGGTGAACACGTCAATGACAAACCTGGAGAAACATACTCAAACGCGGACTGAAATACACAAGACTAATTGAAAATAACAAGCAACAGCTGATGACATCGGGATTTCACACAAGGTAAACGAGGGGGGCGTGGCACACAGGAGGATCGGACGAGCAGGTCATGACACACGCTGTAAACAATTGTATTTCTGTAAAAACAATCAGATTACACATTTTATGCTTGTCAAGGCTTTATTCAGCTAGATGGATAAATATATTCAAAGCAGAAAGCAAATATTTATTCAACTTTCATGTGGTGGATTAAATACATTACATCTTTTTATTTTAAGTAAAAGGCATTTTTGTTTTAGTTAATTTGGCAGTGTGATTATAAAAGATCTACTTCAACAGAAAACCTTCTCAAAAACTCTGTGTCTCACGCAGAGCTCTGGATCAGTTATCAATTATGTTAATTGTAATTTGAAGTGATCTGACCAATAGGAAGCTACATT